AGCCCTTTATGAATCCACTGCTGAAAGAGGGCATCCCGATGGCGTGCGGGTCGTGAGGATTGTTTGACCATACTTCACCAAGCTGGTCAGTGGGGGTTGGTATAGAGGCGGGTAGCATAGAGGTGGGAGCGTATAAGTTGAATGCAACAATGGATTTCACTGCACTGCCCCCTGCTGCCCACCGTATTATTTGTCGTATATGTGGAGTGGAGCACACCTGACTCCTCTTTAACTTGTGCAGATGGCTGAGTGGATGAGTCCCTCTGCTTACACACGAGCCTGATGAGAGGGGGTGGCGGTATTACCTATTGAGGCCCCAAGCTCAAATTTTGTACCGGCAGCCCTATATTTCTCTCTCGACGAGCCAAGCTTTTTTTTTGTATTGTTTGCTCTTGTAACTTGGTGACCCGCCCATACGGGGTATCTGTAAACAAAAATAGCTTCATAGCACACCGGATTCCTCGAGTCTAAATCGAGATTTCAAGTCTGAGTTACACGAATAGTTGCACAAATGCGTTGTGAACGTTCATCAGTGACTCAGCTGATGTCATCAAATGCGATCGATTTTAGAATGTTTTTTTTATTATCTTGGGTGGCAGCCAAGGATTTAAGAATCCCCCGGATTTCAGCAGTGCTGGTGCTGGCTCGCCGCTCTGGCACAGCGGTTTTGTGAGTGAGTAAATGAACTTGCGTCTCGTCAGCTGGATCTCGTGAATCGCTCCCACGCTTAGGGCGGCTTCCGTTATTGATTTGGACCGCGAATGAAATGGCTCCGCGGGTCAATGGCTTAGGTGTTGTTATCGCACGGCGGCGCCCATGCGGGGTGCGGGCCCCGGCGAACGTCCTCTGAAACGTAACGCGGCCACTTCGAGCCCCACGTTACTACGCTCGACCAGGAGAGTGGTTCCGAACCTTTGTGGTCCCGTGGACCGCTCGCTGCTCGCCAGAAAATCCATGGGAAGTGAGCCACGGAGATGTTGCAGATTTTAAATGTTTATATAAACATTTTGTAAGTTTTTTTTTCTGCCAAGAGCACAATTTTTATTTTAGTAAATATAGCGTGAGTTCATCGAGTTTTTTTTCCCATGGATTTTTATTCATGTTTTTTTTAAGTTGCTTTAGAGACGTTTTCATATTGAAAAGTGTTATCGGTGCACGGATGGTTGACTATGGTCCACGGGTCCAGCAAGGTGGGGAAGCACTGCACAAGAGGTGGGCGTTCGTCAGGGCGAGTGGGTGAACAGGTGAGTGGGTGAGCGGGTGAGCAGGTGAGCGGGTAAGCAGGTGATTGGGTGAGTGGGTGAGCGGGTGAGCGGGTGAGTGGGTGAGCGGGTGAGTGGGAGAGCGGGTGAGCGGGTGAGTGGGTGAGCGGGTGAGCGGGTGAGTAGGTGAGCGGGTGAACGGGTGAGTGGGTGAGCGGGCTGTGAATGGCCAGGTGAGGGGAATTAGATGGGGAGGATATAAGGAGATGTCACGTGCCACTGAGCCACCACGTCGCTACAATGCAATACATTAAAAGTGATTATATGGCGTGCTTACAGTCAGTCGATTGGCAGGTCAGGTGTGGAGGGGCAAAGTGTGGGTACGCCCACCTCCTCCAAGACGTCTGGCCCAGCGTGGAAGAGTAGGCCAAATAACCCTCTAGGGTGGAGGCCCTTCCGCCAGCAGTGGCGTGAGCAAGACATTGCAGGGCTTCACCTTTACACTTTACCATCATCTTATAGCACTCTTAATGCAGAGCATAAGAGGGCACTTTACAATAAAAACTCAAGCAAACGTAAAAATAATCTAACTCAAAGATTGTGTTCTTATATTTAATTTGAAAGATTTGTGCCGACAGCATTCCTGATATGACTTGTGCGGAAACAGAGCTGCAGAGCCAAGGAGCAGAGCAACCAAAGGCTCTCGTCCATTCTGATTTTTTCAGACGACTTCTTACGTCTTTTATTTCGTGAGTCACAAAGAGGTGCGCGTGGTGAACATTGACCCACATGTGAATGTTCATAATAATGATACAGAAGTACTCCGAAAGGTGGGGAGCTTTATGGCGCAGCGATCAGTGAACGGTTTGTACTAGTAGGAACCTCCTGGTTACACCAGCCCACAGGGGATTATTGTGTCCGTCCGTCCGTCGTGCAACCAAAAATGGGAGGGGTGGGGCTGGGTGGAGAGGGTAGGGTGGGGAGGGGCTGGGTGAGGAGGGAGGGAGGGGCTGGGTGGGGAGGGTGGGGAGGGGCTGGGTGGGAAGGGTGGAGCTGGGTGGGGAGGGGAGGGTGGGGAGGGGCTGGGTGGGGAGGGTGGGGAGGGGCTGGGTGGAGGGTGGGAGGGGTGGGGCTGAGTGGGGAGGGGCTGGTCACCCCGTGGTGCCCTTATAAAACTCAACGTTTAACCTACTCACGCCGGCTTGTGCCCGCCCTCACAGTCGGGCATATTTGCGGAATACACCACGTGGTGCCGCCGTTGACCCTGGCCATTGACCGAGCAACCCAACGTTCCTACCAACTCCCTCCGCAGGAATGTGTTACGAACTTCGCACCCCGAGTACGATTCCTGGTCACGGTTAACGTTAGTGGTAAACTAAATACACACAATAGTGTGCGTGGACGAGGCATTATCTTTACGTAAATCTTTGTGTGAACCTTCGTGTTATATCTGTGTGCACATGTTTATAAACACATACAAACCTAGAGCGCCAGGCGGCTAAAACACGGCGAGTTGGCACAGTGGGGAGCGCAGGTGAGGAATCTGCCAGTCATCTCAGTCAGCCAACCCATAACACCTGGGGCCATCCCCGTGACCTCCGGCCAGCAGCGAGCCTTTGGTACTTCAATTTGTGGCGTTGACGTCACCACGACGCTTGTGCCAGGCTAGGTGCATTTTGAGGTCACATGAAGCGTCAAATGTTCCCTGTTAGCGAGAGGGCATGGGACAGACCCAGGTGCCATGGATTGACTGACGAGCATGACTTGTAGAGGCACCAACCACATGGGCTCCCTTTTGTGTCAATTTCCTGCATTTTATTCGCAAAGCGCTCCGCTCGTTGTTGTGAGTGTCGCTCCTACACCCCTCCGCTTTTACTGGAGGGCGACTGCCTCAAACTGCCCAGTAGTGCCTATTCACGTTCCTCCTCAAAGTACACCTAGACTGACACAAGCACCGTGGTTGTCACAGCCACTGAGTGGCTATTGGGTGTTTAGCTGTTGCTAGGAATTCAACTCAGGCCGCCGGATCAATCCTCTATGCAGTATGAATATTTTGCAATTATCTAACTTTTCCTGAAAAATAATCAGTCCGTTGAGAATTAATGTCACCATCTGTTCACATTCCTTCCCAGGGACGATAAAATGGTACTACTTTGTTGGAAGTCAATAGCGGTATTCCTACAAATAGACTGGCCCCTGACATGGGAATGTGGAATGTACGCCGCTGGCTCCGGGTCGCCAATGGGACTGAGCACAGCCGCATTGCTCCATTTGAGCAAAAGCCAATTTGATTTTGAAAAGAAACGCAATTGAAGGGAATTGAATTGGATTAGTGGTGTGTGGTTGTGATGGATGGGTTAGGGCTTAAGAAGACATGTATTAGCCATAGGATGGCTAAGGGGGCATTCCCTTAGGAATTTGTGGGTATGGATAAGAGGGCATTGAAACAACGGTAGCAGCAGTGGGTAAGCAAGAGGGCATACCATTGTCTTAGGACACAAGTGAATGGATACGGCTACTTTATGGGCTGGCAAGAATGGGTGAGAGGAAATCCCTACATTGCCTTAAAGGTGCACAACAGGTCATTGCATTAGCGATTGCAGCGATAGTTAGAGGCGTTAAGAGGGATGACGGAGTGAAGGAAAAGGGTTATTGTCTTCAAGATTTCGGGAGAAAGTCAAGGGGACATTCGATTTGGGAAATATTTTCGAAGGGGGCAATTATTGGACCGGCCAGGGAACAGTCTTGAAGTTGGTGTTGCAGGGGACCAGGTATCCATGTTGGCCCACGTTCATCAATGAAGAGGAGGAGGAGTTCATATGAAGACTCTTCATTATTACAATCATCATCGTCAGCAGCTGTAATCCGCTGTTGGCTGAAGTGCTCCCCGCTCCGTCGCTAATCGCTCACGGTCCTAGCGACGCAACGAACCACAACTTAGGCCGCGGCGCGCAATTCCATCGCTCCATCTCCGAGGCGGTCGAACCTCTTTGATGAGAAGCACCGAAGCAGAGGCGTCGATTCCATCACCCCGCAACGAGATCCCCGGGCCAGGCGGGCGACTGCCAACGCAGCGCTGTGCAAGTGGCACCCAAACGCCACGCCGACAGGCAGCCTCGGAGATCCAGAAATGACGTTTATTTTCACATCAGCAAAAAATACACTGAGCACAGCCTTTCAAAGCAATTTGAAGTGGGTGGTTGGTTGGTGGTGGTGGGGGTACACCATATGGCCTAGCAGCTTGCCCCCCACCAACCCAATCAACTCCCGCCCCCTACTCCCCCTATATTCTGACCATCATAAGTCTGGCTGAAAAGGGGTGGGGGCGGTTGGGTGGAGGGGGGAGCAGTCTGGGGGGGGGCATGGGGGGTGGGGCTATTAAGGTGCGGGTGGGGGGGTCAGGTCGGGGGGGGGGGGCAGAAGCCGTTGGGCGGAGGGGGACCCAATGGGGGGGGGGGGTGCTTAGTGGGGGCGTGGGGGTTAGGGCCGTGGGCAGAGGTCGGTGGGGTGAAGGGGGGAGCCGTTGGGGGGGCACGGGTGGTTGGGCCGTGGAGGTGCCGGTGGGGGGGGGGGCGGGTGGGGGGGGGGCAGAGGCCGGTGGGGGCGGATGGGAGCCCGGTGGGAGGGGGCTGGGGACCCATGGGGGGTTGGGGAGGGGGTCGTGGGGGACATTCCCCGAGGCAGAATCTGACCCCTGCGCCTGATCCGTGGCCGCGCTGGTGGTGCCCGCAGGCGCGCGCTCCCATTGGCTGCCGATGACGCCACGCGATGACGCCACGCGCTATTCTCACGGCAGGTGATGTCATCGCAACCGGCCGCCGAAGCTCGCTCGGGGATTATTTATATCAGCTGGGGGGGGGGGGTAGTGAGGGGGTCTCTCTCTCTCTGTAGCCACACACACACAGGGGTCCAGAGCACACAAGCCGCATACGACAACAACAACATCATCATCAACAACAGCACCACCACCAACCAACCACCATCATCTTGATAACCAGCAGCGGCTTGTGGACTGTCTCGCGATGATCCAGCGAATGGATTCATTAATTTAATTGCTGCTGCGCCGCCGCCGCCGCTGCTGCTGTTGTTGTTGTTTTGCCCCCCCTCCTCTGCTCGCCGCTGGGATTAATGGCTCTGGCTCGGCTTTCAGGAGGGAGGAGGCAGTAGCTTTGAGAAGGAAGAAGAGAAGGAGGAGGAGGAAGGAGAAGATCGCTGCTGCTGCTGTTGACGAGGAGGTGAGAGACGCAGCCCGCGGATGGCGCGGTTAGGGATGGCGATGTCGAGTGTGGTGGTGTCATTGTGTGTGCTGTGTGGACGTGTGTGTGTTGTCTGTGTCGCTGTGTGTGCACATGTGGTGTGTGTGTGTTGTTGTCTGTGTCGCTGTATGTGCACATGCTGGTGTGTGTGTGTGTTGTCTGTGTCGCTGTGTGTGCACATGTGGTGTGTGTGTGTTGTCTGTGTCGCTGTGTGTGCACATGTGGTGTGTGTTGTCTGTGTCGCTGTGTGTGCACATGTGGTGTGTGTGTGTTGTCTGTGTCGCTGTGTGTGCACATGTGGTGTGTGTGTGTTGTCTGTGTCGCTGTGTGTGCACATGTGGTGTGTGTGTGTTGTCTGTGTCGCTGTATGTGCACATGTGGTGTGTGTGTGTTGTCTGTGTCGCTGTATGTGCACATGTGGTGTGTGTGTGTTGTCTGTGTCGCTGTGTGTGCACGTGGTGTTTGTGTGTTGTCTGTGTCGCTGTATGTGCACATGCGGTGTGTGTGTGTGTTCTCTGTGTCGCTGTGTGCACGTGGTGTGTGTGTTGTCTGTGTCGCTGTGTGTGCACATGTGGTGTGTGTGTGTGTTGTCTGTGTCGCTGTGTGTCCACGTGGTGTGTGTGTGTGTTGTCTGTGTCGCTGTGTGTGCACATGTGGTGTGTGTGTGTGTGTGTTGTCTGTGTCGCTGTGTGTGCACACGTGGTGTGTGTGTGTGTTGTCTGTGTCGCTGTGTGTGCACGTGGTGTGTGTGTGTGTTGTCTGTGTCGCTGTGTGTGCACGTGGTGTGTGTGTGTGTTGTCTGTGTCGCTGTGTGTGCACATGTGGTGTGTGTGTGTGTTGTCTGTGTCGCTGTGTGTGCACACGTGGTGTGTGTGTGTGTTGTCTGTGTCGCTGTGTGTGCACGTGGTGTGTGTGTGTGTTGTCTGTGTCGCTGTGTGTGCACGTGGTGTGTGTGTGTTTGTGTCGCTGTGTGTGCACGTGGTGTGTGTGTGTGTGTGTTGTCTGTGTCGCTGTGTGCACATGCTGGTGTGTGTGTGCGTGTTGTCTGTGTCGCTGTGTGTGCACGTGGTGTGTGTGTGTGTTGTCTGTGTCGCTGTGTGTGCACGTGGTGTGTGTGTGTTTGTGTCGCTGTGTGTGCACGTGGTGTGTGTGTGTGTGTGTTGTCTGTGTCGCTGTGTGCACATGCTGGTGTGTGTGTGCGTGTTGTCTGTGTCGCTGTGTGTGCACGTGGTGTGTGTGTGTTGTCTGTGTCGCTCTGTGTGCACATGTGGTGTGTGGTGTTGTTGTCTGTGTCGCTGTGTGTGTGTGTGTTGTCTGTGTCGCTGTGTGTGTGTGTTATCTGTGTCGCTCTGTGTGCACGTGGTGTGTGTGTTGTTGTCTGTGTCGCTGTGTGTGTGTTATCTGTGTCGCTCTGTGTGCACGTGGTGTGTGTGTGTTGTTGTCTGTGTCGCTGTGTTTGCACGTGGTGTGTGTGTGTTGTCTGTGTCGCTGTGTGTGTGTGTTATCTGTGTCGCTCTGTGTGCACGTGGTGTGTGTGTGTTGTCTGTGTCGCTGTGTGTGCACATGTGGAGTGTGTCGGCGTAATAGGTGCTCTCGAACAGCACTTGCACCAACAGCCGGTGACGTGCAATGTTATGCGTGGGGAATCTTTCTCTTTGCATGTAGGTGTGTATCTATCTGTCAGTGTGTGAGCGTGTGGTATGTGCGTGTGTGTGCGCATAGCTGTACCATAGCTTGTAGCTGTGTGTGTGTGCATAGCTATCTGTGTGTGTGTCATTCAGCCTTGATGAGTAGTACCTGGCGCTGTGTGTAAGCATCACCATTTGGGAAGACAAAGGCGGCCGGGCGTGGTGTTGGTCACTCACCCCTACTGGTGTGCCGTGCCGTGCCGGCCTTCGCCTATATCAGCACTTGCCCCCAACAGCTGTCAAGGCCGTACGGGGATCTTTGTCTTTGCGTGTGACTGTGTGTGCATGTTAGGTATTGCCAGTGTGTCCACACGTGTGTGTGTGTGAACATATAGGTGTGTGTCATTGTGTGTGTGTGTCTCCGCACTAAGCTTCAGGTCTTCTCGGCCACGGTCATTCCCTCCCTTCTCTACGCTTGCGAAACGTGGACCCCCCTAATGGAACATCTTCGCCGGTTAGAAACATTTAGGCTGGCCTGCCTACGATCCATCCTGGGTTTAACCAGGCTGGATTGTGTGAGGAGCTCACAAATCCATGAAAGATCTGGGCAAGGTCCCATCGGTGAGCTCCTCCGGCAGGCAAGGCTGCGTTGGCTGGGTCATGTAGCCCACATGCCCAGCCACCGCATACCGAAACAGCTTTTGTTCGGCCGGATCGAGGGGGCTAAGCGGGCGCGGCACGGGCTAAAGAAGAGATGGAGTGATGTGGTACAGGAGGATGTGGAGCTGAGTGGACTTGCCGATGACTGGTACCAGCGGTGTCAAGATCGGCCTCTGTGGAGGAGGCTCGTGAAGGACGCTACTGGGCAGTTGGAGGCAGTCGCCCTCCAACAACAACGGAGGGCGGAGGAGCGACGCTCACAACAACGAGCAGAGCGCCGGGTGGCTAAAGCACAGCATGTTAGCACAGTAGGGGGCACAGGTGGTGCATCAGACAGTCATCTCAGTCATCTCAGTCAGTCGACCCGTGGCACCTGGGTCTGCCCCGTGACCTCCTGCCAGCGGGCATTCGACACTTCACGTGGCCTCAAGGTGCACATGGCCTGGCACAAGCGTCGTGGTGACATCACCGCCACTTAGTGGCGAATGGCGATTGTTGTTGTTGTGTGTGTGCCCCTGTGTGTCAGTGTCATTGTGTGTTTGCATATGCAGTACTGTATATATAGGTGTGTGTCTGTGTCACTGCACATTTGGGTGTTTGGCATTGTGTCTACACGTGTGTGTGTATATATTGAGGTGTGTTTCTATACTGCCTTACTCATATTTAGATATGTGTAACACTCGGCATATTCACGTGCGTCACTGTGTACATGGTTCATTGTGTCATTGTGTAAACTTAAATTTGTATGTATGCATATTCCTTTGTATTGTGTTCAGATGTGTGTCTGCATACTGTAATGCAATGTGTATATGTGTCACTGTCCGTCTTTATGATTTTGTGTGCCATATTTACACGTGGTATAAAGCACAGTTGTGTGTCATAGTGTATGCATGTGGCAAAATTCCTAAAAACATTGTCTTCCAAAAGTCCACGAATCCTGAAAGTCACGGCGTCCCTGTGCTTCAGGGAAATGCCCATAATCTGCATTGGCGAACATCCTAAAAACCGGGTGTGTTTTTGTTGTTGTTGCATATTTGACAAAAAAAATTGTAGGGTGGCTAAAAACTCATGGAATCCGCACAAAAAAAAACACCGTGCAAGTTATAGCAGCCAAAAATTATCCTAAAATTCGCGAGAGACTGCGATGGGATGATTTTGTGATTGTAGTGTTGGCTGGATTCGAAGGAGCCGGTCGGCTTTTAAGTGTGGCGGTTGCACTTTAACAACAAGAATCATTCCCATCTTGTTTGAAACGCTTCAAACACGTGTCTCACTCGAACTCTGCCTTTGAGAGCAGCAGAGAGAGAGAGAGAGACAAATGGAGATGCTTACGTCTCACGGACTTTTAGTGATTTTTTTTATTTATTGTTCTCAAATAAAGATCCCTTTAGGACGTTTTCCTCCATTTAAATTTTTTTCCAAAATAATTCGGGAACCTCCCAACAATCCGCTATTTTTTTTCCCCTACAAATAATTCGTGCTTAGTCACGTGCCCCTCTGATCCTTTACTTAAAAAAATATTTCAGTGCGGATTTTTGAGTTAATATCGCACGCAATGTGCCCCGGATTACAGGGTCCGCGAATCCACCATGCCCCTCCCCCCACATCACTGCTAAATATTTGGAGTTGTACTCTATTTAGATACATGTGTCACTGTGCATATTTAGGTGTGTGTCGCTGGTGTATATATTTAGGTGGCTGCTGTTTTGCCAAGGTGTGTTTTATATTTATGTATGTCTAATAGCGACGCTTGAGTTCATGACATGAATCAAATAGCACGTGCAAGAATACATATTTTCTATTCATAGGTGTGTCTAGTGGGTGAACGTGACCCTTCCTGCCACTAGAGGCCGCTACAATAACCACAAAGTACAAAATCAAATCGACTCTTGTATCGAAACATCGAATTGTGATTTTGACAAATCTTTACACCCATAATATTGTGTATATGCGTTGCTCGTCACGTGAATGTCGCTGTGCATATTTGCAACTGTGGTCCACTGTATTGTGTTACTGTAAACTTGTGTTAAATGTAACTGTTCACACCCGCAACTGTATGTAGGTGTGTGCCATTCATGTATAGCAACTGTACTGTTTCCATACAGTGAGGAAAAAAAGTATTTGATCCCCTGCTTATTTTGTACGTTTGCCCACTGACAAAAAACATATCAGTCTATAATTTTAATGGTAGGTTTATTTCAACAGTGAGAGACAGAATAACAACAACACAAATCCAGAAAAACGCATGTCAAAAATGTTATAAATTGATTTGCATTTTAATGAGGGAAATAAGTATTTGACCCCCTCTCAATCAGAAAGATTTCTGGCTCCCAGGTGTCTTTTACACAGGTAACGAGCTGAGATTTGGAGCACACTCTTAAAGGGGTGCTCCTAATCTCAGCTTGTTACCTGTATAAAAGACACCTGTCCACAGAGGCAATCAATCAGATTCCAAACTCTCCACCATAGCCAAGACCAAAGAGCTTTCGAAGGATGTCAGGGACAAGATTGTAGGCCTACACAAGGCTGGAATGGGTTACAAGACCATTGCCAAGCAGCTTGGTGAGAAGGTAACAACAGTTGGTGCGATTATTCGCAAATGGAAGAAACACAAAAGAACTGTCAATCTCCCTCGGCCTGGGGCTCCATGCAAGATCTCACCTCGTGGGGTTGCAATGATCATGAGAATGG